CACCAGTACCTGAGGACGCAGACACACCAGCACCTAGAGCAGCAGCGTCGTAAGCACCTAGGGCAGCAGCCTCACCAGTACCTAGAGCAGCAGTCTCAATGCCCGGATCGGGCTGGAAACACCGGTAACAGTCACCCTCATCACTAATAGACACAGCATACATGGCAGAGAGAATAGCATCAAAGTCCAGATCAAAGATGGCAACCCCCGCCCTAGACAGCTCGTCCCAGCGAGGGATCTCGGAGGCCTCCGGGAACTGGTGACGCCATGCGTCCGTCAGGCGGCCAAAGCAGCGCGGAGTGGGGTGCGCACCCCCACACTGCTCACCCGCACGGTCGCCGGTGCGCAGGACGTAGGTACACGGACCAAAACCCCCACCCCGCTGGCGTGCAGTGTACCACTCACGGAGCTGCTGAGGGGACAGGGTCGCACGACCACGCTGCTGCTGCTGGCGCGAGCCACCACCGGAGCCACTCCTCTGCAAAGACCCGCGACCAGCTCCACCGCCACCCCCACCGCCTCCACCGCCTCCGCTGCCTCCACTGCCGCCGCCGCCTCCACCGCCTCCTCCACCGCCGCCTCCTCCGCCACCTCCGCTACCACCGCCACCGCCGCCGCGGCCTCCGCCTCCACTGCCGCCACCGAACCCCCCACCCCCACCTCCACCTCCACCGCTACCCCCACTCCCCCCACTGCCTCCACCTCCACCTCCACCGCCCGCTCCTCCAGCTCCCTTGCCCCCCTTGCCCTTGCCAGAGCGGCGTCTCCCGCTAGGGGCAGACACCGCACCGACCGACTCAAGACCAAGGAGGTCGGCCGAAGCAGCAGAGGCAACAGAGGGCAGCAGGGGGGAGGGAGAACACCCCTCAAAGATGGGGGTGCGCGGGTCACCTCGAGAGGCTCCTACAGCGACTATGCTCTTTTCTATCGCGAGGAGGGCCTTCTCGAGGAGGTCTACAGTGAGTGTGGTGGGACAGACTGAGAGAAAGTGGTCCTTGACTACTCGAAGGGAGTCAGGGAGGCGAGTGACTAGGAAGTACAGAGTGATGTACATGGGGGGGGGGTTCGCGGTGCAGAAGTCAGCAGGAAGTGCAGCGCGGTAGCGAGTGTCACTAGTGCGGAGGTGCGTAATGAGGTCAGCAACGGTGGGAAAAGAAGCAAGGTCAGGGAAGAGGAACGGCAGCATGAGACGGCTCAGTGCAGCAGTGGAAGGGGAGGAGTAGCGCGCGACTACAGCGGCGTACAAGGTCTGAGCACTCTTGTACTGACTAAAGTGCGCACGCTCGGAGGTAGGGAGGTGGCGACGCACAGCAAGACGTGCAGCAGCATCGCGCGTGGCCCACTGGGAGCGAACAGTGGCGTCAGCATCAGCAGCAGGGGCAGGGGAAGCGCCAGAGGTGAGGTCAAAGAGAGAGAGGCCGTCCGCCCTATCGCACTGTAAGAACAGCTGTAGGTCATCTACCCAGACCTCAAAGTCAATGGCCCGACCCTCAGCGTCAAAAGTGAGGACACTAGGGGTAGCCATGACAGCAGTAGACCAGCAGTGCAAGGAGTAGGGGAAGAGCACGCAGTGACAGAGGGTCTGTGCTCACCGGACAGGGCTGCTCGGGCGGCTCGGCTGCAGGGCGGCTCGGCCGCTGGGCGGCTCGGCGGCTGGGCGGCTCGGCGGCTGGGCGGCTCGGCAGCTGGGCGGCTCGGCGGCTGGGCGGTCGGCTGCACGGCGGCTCGGCTGGTGGGCGGCCGGGCGGCTCGGCTGCAGCGCGGCTCGGCGGCGGGGCGGCTCGGCTGCTCTGCTGCTGGGCGGCTCGGCTGGGCCGCTGACGTAGGGCGGCGGGGCCGCTGTAGAGGAGTGGCGGGGCCGCTGCAGAAGGACGGCGGGGCCGCTGGGTAGTGAGGCGGCGGGGCCGCGAAGACGGGCGGCGGGGCCGCTGCAGAGAAGCGGCGGGGCCGCAGTGAAGGGCGGCGGGGCCGCAGCGAGAGAAGCGGGGGGGGCGCGAAGTCGGGCGGCGGGGCCACAGTGAGAGGCGGCGGGGCCGCAGCGAGAGAGGCGGCGGGGCCGCGAAGACGGGCTGCGGGGCCGCTGAGACGGGTGGCAGGGCCGCAGTGAGTGGCGGCGGGGCCGCAGCGAGAGATGGCGGCGGGGCCGCGAAGACGGGCGGCGGGGCCGCAACGAGAGAGGCGGCGGGGCCGCAGAAAAGGGCGGCGACGGGCCGTAGGCGGCGCGAAGCCGCAGGTAAGGGCGGCGACGGGCCGGGGCGGCTCGAAGCCGCAGGTAGAGGCGGCGCGAAGCCGCGGGAAGAGCGGCGACGGGCCTGGGCGGCGCGAAGCCGCAGGTAGGGGCGGCGCGAAGCCGCCGGTGTGGGCGGCGCAAAGCCGCGGGTAAGGGCGGCGACGGGCCGGGAAAAGGGCGGCGCGCCGCAGCCGCTAGGGCGGCTCGACGCGACCGTAAGGGCGGCGCGACGGGCCGCTAGGTGCGACTCGACGGGCCGCTAAAAAAAAGGCAGGCGCGACTCGAGGCGCGCTTCGGTGGGCCCAAGGAACAGTCCCAAGGAGGGGACCTGCTCTGATTCCATGAGAAAATGAGAGCGAGAATGGTGTGAACTATGAAAATGAAGTGAGTACAAATATGAAACCCTAATTGGTTGTACCCCCTATGGGATACCCCACTATAGCCTACACAACAGCATAAGCTATAATGTTCTGACAGTATACAAATTATATATATATATATTGGCATAATGCCTGTACACTATGCGTTAAGCGTATCTGCATCATATCCAATTTATTGCTCGACGCGACGCGAACATTGGCCAATGGGATCATTTCCAACAGAGCTGGAAGTCCAATGAACGAAATTGCCAAAAAAAAAAATTCAAGCCAACGGCCAATCGCGTAAGTTTCCGAACCAGAAAAATGTTTCTGGACGATTGGTTCCGACACTTCTGGGGGAGTTGAGCGCGCGGTCCGCTCGAAAGGCATCCTGACCGGCGTCCTGAGACATACCTTCCGAAGCCTATGAGTTTAGTATTGGATCAGTGACTATGTCGTATATATACATGACATCTAGTATAGAAATAAATACATATGTTAATATGGTAGATGTATTTTTTAATGCTAAACGATTTACAACTTTTCAGGTCTATGATAAAATACATACAACTCCCTATCTTCGTGAGGTCGAATCTGCATATCATTCTTTGGATACAATATAATTCGACATGCCGTTGCAATTTTTGGATCATCCTATCTTCCTACCAAATGTGGCGAATGACAACAAACCTGTACAGCTCGCTTAGAATATAGTAAATGTTTGAATAGTAAAAATAAACATTGTTTAACATAACAAACGGAAGCGGATTTTGCACAGGCCTATCCTTGGACAGTTCTCCCTGCTCGCATGTTTCATACATCATATATCCTTACTAAATGCTGCGAATGACACCAAACCTGTCCAACACGTTTAGAATATAGTAAATGAAGGCATGATAGAAAGAAACATTGTTTCAAATAACAAACGGAAGTTGATTTGGCACCTCGTAATAGCACAGGCCTATCCTTGCACAGTTCTCCTTGCTCGCATGTTTGGAACATCATATCTCCTTACTAAATGCTGTGAATGACACCAAACCTGTCCAACACGCTTTGAATATAGTAAATGCATGAATGATAGAAAGAAACATTGTTTCAAATAACAAACGGAAGTTGATGTGGCACCTCGTAATAGCACAGGCCTATCCTTGCACAGTTCTCCTTGCTCGCATGTTTGGAACATCATATCTCCTTACTAAATGCTGCGAATGACACCAAACCTGTCCAACAAGCTTAGAATATAGTAAATGCATGAATGATAGAAAGAAACATTGTTTCAAATAACAAACGGAAGTTGATGTGGCACCTCGTAATAGCACAGGCCTATCCTTGCACAGTTCTCACTGCTCGCATGTTTGGAACATCATATCTCCTTACTAAAATAAGATAGCCTATCAACTCTATACATAGCGTATGCAAAGAAACCTCTACTCTTCCACCTCCTGCTACTGCCCTAGTCGCTGTGGCTGCTGCTGCTGCACCAAATCCAATAGCTGATGCCATAATCGCTGCAGATCGATGAACCCCTGCTGATGTAGTGGCTGGCCCTGCTGTTGTGTATGATGGTACATTTGGTTCTGTTGCAATGCCTTCATCAGCTGCACCAGGTGCAGCCCTTGACCCTGGAGCTCCTCTTGCTGTACCTGATGCTGTGGTGGCAACTCCCACTGTTGCCTAAGCTGCAGCACCGTGTGCGCATGAGCTTAGGCAGTACCTTGGACAACACCTTGAGCACCACCATGAGTACCTTCTACAACTGGTTGTTCCTCCAAATCATCCTCTGTATCTGAACTACTGCCCCACTCCTCATCCGATAATTCAACATCTTTATCCTCACCAACACCCTCTTGTTGTGGGCTACCATCCATTACCCCATCTGCCTGTCTGCTCTCCCTTCCCTCTATTGCCTAAGAGCCTTGCACACTACGACTCGGTGGTGCCTTCTGTTGCATGCAGAACATTGTGAGAGATGTGTATAAGATTGGTAATGGGCGCAAAGCGCAGAAACATGCAACAAAGAGAAGAGTACACCAAAGGTTGGTATTTCGGGTTTAGGCTACATCAATTATCAAATCATTACCGAGTCATTACGCATGCAAATACGGGGCCTCCATCTCTTTTAAGTTGGGAAAGTCAACCTTTCCAGAATGTAATAAAGTGTAATTAAATAAAGTAGCCTACCAATTCTATACGTAGTGTACGCAACGAACAGCTGCTACCCCACCTGCTTCTACTGCCCTGGATGTTTCGGCTGCAATTGCTGCACCAAATTCAATAGCTGCTGCCATTGTCGCTGCAGATGTTGTTGCTGATCTGGTGGTGGGAGCAGCTGTTGTTGATGAAAGTACATTTGGTTTTGTTGCAATGCCTGCAGCAGTTGCAACAGGTGCAGTCCTTGACCCTGGAGCAGCTCATGCTGTCCCTGATGCTGTGGTTGCAACTCGCGCTGCTGCTGCTGCTGGTGCTGCTGCTGCTGCTGCCCCTGCTGCTCCTGCTGCTGCTGCCCCTGCTGCTGTTGCTGCTGCTGCTGCTGCTGCTGCTGCTCCTCCCGCCGCCGCTGGCGCCCCAGCCGCTGCTGCTGCTGCCCCTGCTGCCCCTGCTGCCCCCGCTGCTGCTGCTGCTGCCCCTGCTGCTGCCCCTGCTGCTGCCCCTGCTGCTGACCCTGTTGCCGCCCCTGCTGCTGCCCCTGCTGCCCCTGCCGCCCCTGCCGCTACTGCTGCTGTCCCTGCTGCCCCTGCTGCCCCCGCTGCTGCTGCTGCTGCCCCTGCTGCTGCCCCTGCTGCTGCCCGTGCTGCTGTCCCTGCTGCTGCCCCTGCTGCTGCCCCTGTTGCCGCCCCTGCTGCTGCCCCTGGCGCTGCTGCTGTGGTTCCCGCCGCCGCTGCCGCCCCTGCCGCTGCTGCTCGTGCCCCATAAGCCCCTGCTGCCCCTGCTGCCCCTGCTGCTGCTGCTGCTGCTGCTGCTGCTGCTGCTGCTGCTGCTGCCCCTCTTGCTGCTGTTGCTTCTGCCCCTGCTGCCCCTCTTGCTGCTTCTGACCCCTCCGCTGCTGCTGCTGCTGTCCATGCCTAGGGTCCCACTGCTGCTCCTGCTCCCGCCATCTCAAGCGTCTTTGCTGCAACTGCAAGCTTCTCCACTGGCGCCGTTGCTTCTGCCCCAACCGCAAGTGTTGCAGTTCCTCCTCCATTTCCACACATTGGTCATCAGCAACTGGCTCATCCACAACAACTGACTCTTGTGTATCGGGTACCGGAGCCTGTACAACCTGCCTGGCCCCTCCCCTTGGCTCCACACTCCCTGTTTCCTCTCTCTCCTCCCCGCTTGCTTCAGCATCCACTGTTGCCGGCCGTTGATCCCCACGACCTGACTCGGATGCCACCTGTCTCTGCTGACGCAGGTGCTGCATTCGCCGCAACCGAAAACGAATGACGTTATCACCATTGTTATGATCTCCTACACCTCCACCCACCCCTCCAATCTCTGTGGCTCCTCCTCTCAGCCCCACTCCACCGCTCACTGCTGGTCCTCTCTCACCCCCCACCCCTCCACTCTCTGTGGCTCCTCCTCTCAGCCCCACTCCACCGCTCAACCCTGGTCCTCTCTCACCCCCCACCCCTCCAATCTCTGTGGCTCCTCCTCTCAGCCCCACTCCACCGCTCACTGCTGGTCCGCTCTCACCCCCCACCCCTCCACTCTCTGTGGCTCCTCCTCTCAGCCCCACTCCACCGCTCAACCCTGGTCCTCTCTCACCCCCCACCCCTCCACTCTCTGTGGCTCCTCCTCTCAGCCCCACTCCACCGCTCACTGCTGGTCCTCTCTCACCCCCCACCCCTCCCCTTGGTCCCACTCCTACACTCACTGTTGGCCGTCTCTCAGCCCTCCCTCCTCCTCTCTCTGCAGATCCTCCCTGCACTCCCACCCCCCCGCTCACTGTTGGTCCTCTCTCAGCCGTCTCCACTCCACTCCTGTCTGCTCCTCGCCTCGCCCGGACTCCACCCCTCTCCGCTTGTCCTCTTCCTCTCCCTGCCCTTCCCCTTGTTTCTGCTGGTCCACCCCTCCATCCGCCTCCCTCAATCTCTGCTACTCCTCCCCTCCCTCCGACTCCTGCATTTTCACCTGCTCCACCCCGCCCTCCTACTCCCCCACTCTCTGCTGCTCCTCCTCTCCCTGCCACTCCTCCCCTCCCTGCATGTCCTCCCCTCCCTGCATGTCCTCCCCTCCCTGTATGTCCTCCCCTCCCTGTTCCTCTTCCCATTCCAGTCGTTTCCCCTCTCTCAGCCACTCCTGTAACATCAGCCATTCCTCCTTCATCTCGCACTACTCCCCTCCCTCCTGCTCTTGCCTCTCCTCCCATTCCCCCATTCTCACCTCCTCCTCCCAACCCTCCGCCTCCCCCATTCTCACCTCCTCCTCCCATCCCTCCGCCTCCCCCATTCTCACCTCCTCCTCCCATCCCTCCGCCTCCCCCATTCTCACCTCCTCCTCCCAACCCTCCGCCTCCCCCATTCTCACCTCCTCCTCCCAACCCTCCGCCTCCCCCATTCTCACCTCCTCCTCCCAACCCTCCGCCTCCCCCATTCTCACCTCCTCCTCCCAACCCTCCGCCTCCCCCATTCTCACCTCCTCCTCCCATCCCTCCGCCTCCCCCATTCTCACCTCCTCCTCCCATCCCTCCGCCTCCCCCATTCTCACCTCCTCCTCCCATCCCTCCGCCTCCCCCATTCTCACCTGCACCTCCCATCTCTCCGCATCCCCCATTCTCACCTCCTCCTCCCATCCCTCCAAATACTTCACGCAGAACGGTGTGCACATGACCTTGGACAGCACCTTGAGCACCAGCTTGAGCACCTTCGACCACTGGTTGTTCCTCCAAATCATCCTCTGAATCCGAACCGCTGCCCCACTCCTCATCCAATAATTCAGCATCTCCATCCTCACCAACACCCTCTTGTGGTGTGCTACTGTCCATTGCCCCATCTGCCTGTCTGCTCTCGCGTTCCCTCTGTTGCCTAAGAGCCTCGCACACTACTCCTCGGTGGTGCCTTCTGTTGCATGCAGAACATTGTGCCACACTCACTCGAGCCTCCGCTCGTGTTGCTGTTTGAACACTCATGTGCCCTGCTGGAGTGTGAAGTGCCTCCCATGCATCTCTTAGCTGTTTACGCAAATCACACGTCTTTCTGTTGTGCCCCTTCTCTCCACACTTCCCACACTTACGCAGTTTTCTACCATCGATCTCACCGTGGGACCTCAACCGGGTAGTGCGAGGCCTTCCCGATTTTTTGGGATAGGCTGGCGGGAGAGTGGTGCGATCTGGAATTACCATTGTTCACACTCATTTTTTCGGATTCATCTGATTTGGCAAACAGGATCAGACAAAACCATGTCTAATGCCCGGGGGACCCGTCTGATAAATCAGACGTCCTCAGATCCTAGCAAGAGCCCTGACCTCGGGTCGGGGTATGCGGGGATTGAAAAGGTGGCGACTCGGTGGTGGTTCGGGCCGAAAGTGTTGGCCGAACCCACTGACACGATGGCTTCAGGGCATCCCTGCTAAGGTAATGAATTATAATCTGCTGCGATCAGAAGTTGATCGAACTCAGGATCACCTCAGGAAGGTTCGCACACTACTGATCTAGTGGTGGTGGGCCCTTGACCTCAATAGCAGAGTGAATGTAAATGCTTGAGATAATTAAAACATGTAAGTATATGGAATATAAATAAGAGTACAGAGGAATTTGAATCGACCTAGCTTGCCATGTACTCTAAGGGGTACATTCCCTTATTACAGCGAAATCCAACCGTGCGACTCCAGGTGGTTACGAAACTGTTCGGGCAGAATCCTCGCCACAGCTGCTGCCTGATGCTGTCTGCCCGACGGTCCAGATGCTTTTGTAACCGTACGACCCTTCGCGTTACTTCCGCCCGTTTGACTTCAACCTCGGTAGTGTGTGCTTCGCTTGCTACAGTGAGGAGTGCACAGTGATGTTTCAGTAATTACTATTCGTAACACCCCCCTTCACTCCTGACCGTAGCGGGTCTTGACCCGTTTGACTACTCCGCTGAGTTCGGAGCAGTGCTGGTACTGCTGACGTGGCAGTTTCTTCGTGAGGAAATCTGCTGCCATCTCACCCGTTGGGCAGTAGGTTAGGTAAACCTTGCCCTTGTCAACTTCGTCCTTGACGAAGAAGTACCGCAGCGCGATGTGCTTGGTGCGGTTGACGAAGCCAGATTTGTTCGCGATTCTGATCGCGCTCTGATTGTCGCAGTGCAGGCGGAAGTTCGTCGAGGCTGGAATTTTTTGCCTCCTGCAGCAGCTCCTGAAGGTAGAGGCCTTCGCGAACAGCTGTTGTTGCTGCGATGAACTCTATTTCTGCCCATGACAGGGCAACCAGCTCCTGCTTCTGTGAATTCCAGGAGTTGGGACCGCTGGGCTCGAGGGGAAAGAGAAAGCCCGTCTTGGACCGTCGAGTGTCGGATCGGTGGCATGATCAGCGTCCACATAGCCGATGAGGTTGAAGGATGCGGTTGGGGTGGTGGAGTAGCAGAGCCCAACATTGGGCGCGGAAATGAAGAATTGGAGTGCTCGCTGAAGATCTGAGAGATTCTCAGCCGTTGGTTTGCATGAGTACTGGGCCAGCTGACTTGCGATGTAGGATAGGTCTTGCCTGCATGTGACTGAGGCGAAGAGCAGGCATCCCAACTGTTGCTGGTAAGTCTGATGCCCAGCTGGGGATAGGGCTTTGTTGTTAGGCTTATGGTTGGTACCTGGAGTGCAGTAAGGGGTGGAGAGCGGTGCAGGTGCAATGTTGAAGCGCTTGCCAAGTTCCTCTGCGTACTTGCCAGCTGAAAGATGAATGGCTTCAGGCGAGTAAGCGATGTTGAGGCTGAGGAACTGCTTCACGTCGTGGTTACAGGTGATGTCGACGCGCCCCGCGAGATTTTTCTCGAACTGCTCAAGCAGCTCGGGGCTTGATCCTGTGTAGAGCAGATCGTCGACGTAAACCGTTTGCAGGATGTATTCGCCGCGGAAGTCGCGGCGGTACATCCCTGGATCGTGAGGCAGCTGCTTGAACCCAATTTCAAGCAGAATGTTGTGCAGGTACTGCTGCCAGAGCCTCGGCGCCTGTTTAATCCCGTAAAGAGAATTGCGTAGCTGGCAGACACGTGGATCCCCGTCGCCGTATGTGTGCGGCTGCTCCACGTAGATCACTGCATCTACTAACGCGTACAGGAACGCGTTCTTCACATCGATTAGTGGGAGGTGTCGTGCTGTAGCGATGGCGAGCAGGATCCTGACGGAGGTATGGCGGCTGACTGGTGCGAATGTCTGGTCGAAATCAATGCCGTGCCGCTGATCATAGCCGCGCACGACCCATTGCGCCTTGAATCTCTCGATCGTGCCGTCAACTGCGGTCTTCACGCGAAAGACCCATTTCCCAGAGAGGATCCTCCTCCCCTTAACTGTTGCTCGATCAACAAGTACCCAGGTGTCGCGTGACTCGAGCGCTTTAATCTCGGCATCCATTGCTTCGCGCCACTCCTTGCTGTGTGGACGTGTGAGAGCTTGGCGCGGATTCTTTGGTTCGATGACTCGTGGCGCCGTTGTAGTGGCGGTGTGAAGTCCGAGAAGCTGAAGACCAGTGACGGTGCGGTCGTGGCGATGCTGCGTGATGACTTCCTGCACGTCGTCGTCATCACTTTCTGGTTCGGGCGGGGCTGGTGGTGCTGCGCCTCCGCCGCTTCCGCTTCCTCCTGTTGCGCCTCCTGCTGCGCCCGCTCCTCCTTCTCCTGAATCATCGTCGTCGTCGTCGTCGTCGTGACAATCGCCTCTCGTGAACTCCCCTCTAGGGTCTTGCTCCAGGATAACCGTGGCAGCTTCGTCTTCTGGCGTGGCATAGCTGTGCCCGTCATTCGCGTAAACGCGGTTCGCGTTCATCTGCTCATCTTCGCGAAACTGCTGGAGGAAGAGGCGGTCGTAGAAGATGACGTCACGCGCGTTCTTAACTTTCTGGCTTAGGAGGTCCAGAATGATTCACGCCTTGTATTCGTGGCTGATGCCGAGGTGGATCCCCCAGCACGCGCGACTCTTGAACTTGCCGATGGTTGATGTTGGCGGGTGATACTGAACCATGCACCCCCACACGCGAAGCATGGAGGTGTCGCCCTTGGTGCCCGTCCACTTCACGTGCGAGGAGAGGTTGCCGGTAATTGCGGTAGTTGACAGCAGGTTGTGCACCCGCACGGCGTGGTGCATCGCGTAGGTCCAGTAGATCGGCGGAAGCTTCGACTGCTTCATCAGCGCGCGCACCTTCGTCATGAGTGTGCGGTTGGTGCGCTTGGCTACTCTTTGCTGTTGGTGCGCATAGGGGAGAGAGATGTGGTGCGCGATCCCCTTTTGTGCAAGGTAGTCCTGCAGCTCTTTGCTCCTGAACTCCGCCGCGCCATCAGACTGCCAGATCTTCAACTTCTCCCCAGATTGCCGCTGCGCGTGCGCCAGCCACAGGCGGAATGCTTCGTATGCTCTGCTACGTGCTTCCACGTTTACGACCCATACGTAGCGTGTTCCGGCGTCGATGAAGGTGAGCGTGTATAACTCATCGTCAATGCCGCAGTGTCCCACGTTGAGAAAGTCGCTGTAGACTTTCTCCAGTTTGGCGTAATTGGTGCCTGGGTCGAGCAGGGGGGAGGGTCGGTGGCTCAGCGCGGCTTCGGGGCAGACGGTGCAGTTGCGCGGGTGTGTTTCGCCTCATACTTCGGTGCCGTCAGGGCGCAGAAGTGCGCCAGGCGCAAATAGGCCAGCTTCGATGTAGTTCTTCAGAGTCACGCGTGAGGGGTGACCTAGGCGCTGGTGCCAGATGGCGTCGTCAGCGCGGAATCCGGAGGTGCGCATGTAGCGCGCGAGTGCTTCTGTGGGATCCTCTTCAGGTGCTTGAGCAGGTGCCGCCGCTGCTTCCTTATCTTCTTCGCCTTCTTCGTTCGAAGTCGTCAGCATCAGGGCAAGGAATTCTCTGTCGCGGATGATGGAATAGGGGATGTTGGTCCCTGGGATCGTTCCGAGGACTAATATCGGCTCGCGCGACTCGGAGGCAGGTCCGTAGACAGTGCGCCGCGGAGTGGATGGTTCGTTGCCCCAATCGATGGTGTCCCAAGGGTCGCGCTCCGGCAAGATATCAGGTGGAGGTCAGGCAGGTGCGGAGTGGCGCGGTGGGCGACCAAGAGGGACAATCGTAGGTACTAATGCTTCTTCTGCTTCTTCTTCTTCCCCCCTTTGTTCCTCGCGGGAAGCTCCCCAGCCTTCACCTGTAGTGCTCCAGCTGCTTGTCTCGCCGCCATGTGCGGCGCCCCATCCGCTGGTGTTCTCGCCAATTGCTGCGCCCCAGCCGCCAGTATCGCTTGTTCCCCATCCGCCAGCGCTTCCCCAACCCCCTTCATTGGAGGCGCTCTCTTCTTCGTTCTCCCAGGCGAGCGTTCCGCGTGCCTCAGCGAGACTTTTCTGGGGAAGCTCCTCAGCTTCGCGTCGCGCCAATGCCTGTTCTTGCGCCACTGAGAGTTTCTTCTTTGAGTCGCCCCGGTGAGAGAATATCTCTGCCGCCTTTTCCTTGTTGTAGGGTCGTGGCGTGCCGTGCGAGTCGAAGGTGCCAACGCCAACGCCGCGAAGCATCCCTTGGAGGTGTTGGGATGTGGGTCCGGGGAGTGGGTGTTCCGGCGTCCCGAAGACGACGCGCATCGCGGTTTAGGGTTTAGGGTTGGATAGTCCTTCCTCAGGCGGTGCGTCACGTTCTGCTTCGATGATGGCGGCAAGGCCACGACCGGCAATCGCGCTCGTTGAGGATGTGGGCGTGTGGCAGTCCCTGCAAACACCGTCTGGATCGGGGTTGTGTAGTGCTAGCTCGCGCGGATGTGGGTGATGCGGCACCCATGGGCGCCTATCAGGATGCTTCCAATCCCGGCGATGAATGTGCTCGAAGCGCAGG